ATCTGCTGGCCTCCTATGGTGACATGACTCCTTTATAGTATGTGATATGTGAGTCCATTGTCCAGTGGAAAAAGTTTGTACTTTTTTATATGGTTAGCTAACTCCTGGCTATTTCTCTTTCTCATGAGAACCTTGTGCCGGCAAAGTCGTGGTTGTACTAAGAACACAGGCGTAAGTCGCTGAAGCCCATTTAGATGCCCATCTTTAAATGATAAGCACTCCATGGCAATACCATGAGTCACAGTCCAACCCATACTAACCATAAACACAGCAACAGCCTTCCAGAGCCTGAGCGTAAGCTTCATGGTAGAGGCCACTCATCACTGGGGATAATTGTGATGGGCAGCTGAACCCACAGTCATCCTGATTTGATGTGGAATATTAAAGATCATGGTGAGAAATCCCTGGCATCTGAGCAGTTGGTTTATTGGAATCACCCAGCGGCGCTTGTGAAACGAAACAGAGCAAAACAAGAGCACAACCTTCGCCCTTGCAGACTGTGTTCTCTGGGAAGCCTTAAGCAAAGCCCTGGTGCCTCACCCTGTTTAAGATCACTGCCCACCCTCTGGAGGGGATGAGCCCTGATCACTGACACTGTTGCTCAGTCCACCACCACCCAGAAGCTGTTCCTTCCCCCTTCCAGGCTTCCATTCTGCTACAGCTAAACCCAAACAAAGACTTCAAGTGTGTGTGGGGGGGACCATCAAGTCAGAGCTGTTGGTGGGTGAGCCCAAAAGATGGGAAGGCAGAAACCTAAATGGGTTAAAACCAGGAAAGCCACAGAAAACCAGCAGAATCCCCGAATGTTTCTTCCTGTGACCCCCCCCCAAGTGTTTCTCTGAATAGACATACTTTAAATAACAGAAGTTGCGACTCCAAACGCTTTTCTCCTTTTGCCCATGGCTTGCTGCTCATAATATTTGGACTTTAAGTGGGTCTTGGTTAGCATCCTAACGGCGCCGCCATCTTCACTCTTCCTGTCACTAGCAGGGTCAGCCTTGCACACAGAGCACCTCTCTTGACCCTAACTTGACAGTGACCTTGCCTCAATAACCCGAGTGCCTTTGAGAGTGACACTAACTCCTAGTTAGAAGCTTTAGTTTGGAAATAATTTCTCCTGAAAAATTACAATTTTTTTTTGAAAATTTACTATGTCTAATAGCTTCCCCAAATTGCCTACTTAAAGTTTGCTTATTAAAGACTAAAATCAAGCCCACTGCCTAACTACCTAATAGGGTCATTCATTCACTTTGTACCCACTGTATCCCTGAAGCTGTATTAAAAGCTGATTGCAGAATGTGGAAAGGATATATTTGTTAAGAGGAGAGATGCTTCACTAGCATAAAAAATATTGTTAAAAAGCTAGGGCCAGGGATGGCAAATAAATGTCTTTAATCCCAGCACTGGGGAGGCAGAGGCAGGTGTATCTCCGTGAGTTCAAGGCCAGCCTGGTCTACAGATCTAGTAACCCTGTCTCGCCAAAGCAAAATAAAACAAAATCCCAATTACAGCTCATGCTGCTAGAGAGAGCTTGTGTTCCAGGTACTAAACTAGGTCATGGGGGGAGGGCTCTCAGCTCAAGTGGAGTGGAAAGTCTGTGGGGTAACCCCTGCCTGGGGACTGTTAGATTGCGTGCACAGTCTCTTCCTATACCCTCTGCGAAGTCAGATCCGCCTGGAAGTACATCCTAATCAAGAGTTACCCTGAATGTTGAGCCCGCTGCAGGATGCCACCCTGCCTGTGTCTCAGCTTGAGGTCCCTCTCCACCTACCAGGGCCACGTGAGGGGGCTTCTTGTGGTTTGGGAAGCTAACATGTCTGGGAGGCAGGTTTGAAGGGCGTCACAAGGAATCGGGGCTCTACAGAGCCTCTGCCTGCTGAAGAACCCTTGTGCCTTTGAAGGGAGAGCTCAGCTCAAACTGTGCAAACCAAAGGGCACCAGCAGTCCATTCTCAACTCCTAGTAGCTTGTTATATGTAACGTTTCTTGGCCTCATGTTTGTGTTTTGGATGTCCATAAAACATTTGCTCGTTGCAGTGCTAAGAATTGAACCCAGGGTCTCTCACATGGGCTAGGCAAATGCTCTATCCCTGAGCTGTGCCCCCATGACTTTAAATATTTCTTTTTCTTTTTTTTTTTTTTTTTTTTTTGGTTTTACGAGACAGGGTTTCTCTGTATTGTTTTGGAGGCTATCAGTCCAGCCCGGCCTCGAACTCGCAGAGATCCGCCTGCCTCTGCCTCCCGAGTGCTGGGATTAAAGGCGTGCACCACCACCGCCCGGCCTAAATATTTCTTAAATATTTGACATGTTATTTTTTTTTCTTTCTCCCACTTTAAACATTACATCAGCCTACATATCGGCTTTCCTTCTGTTTGTTTCGGCTCTTGACGTGCAGTCTAGGCTGGCCTTGAACTTGGGTCCCACTGCCACAGACTCCCAGAGTGCTGGGATTTTAGGCATGCACCTCTTTGCTTCACTCTTGGATGTGATTGAAACTGAGCGTTAGGTGTGTTTTAGACCATATTTTCACTTACTTTGTTTTAATCATGGACTCTTTCTACCCGAGTGCACAGCCCACCCTCCCACCCCACCCCACCCCACCCCACTCCACCCACCTATTTCGTTTCTGGCTTTCTGTCTGGCACTGTTTAGCATCCCTAAATTTCTTATCTGAACTGTGATAATTCAGAGAAGTTGCACGTGGCAGAAAGCATCCATTAATTACAGCACTAGTCCTTTTTTTTTTTAACTTGTTTCTGTTTGTTTTGAATTGTGTTTAGTGTAAGCTGTCGTCGAATGTTTACTTTTCAGCCTGTATTTCTGGACCTACCCTGCAAGGCAGATACTATTATGCACACATAAGAGAAAACAGCCTGCCCAAGGGCACACAGCTAGTGCTTTGAGATAGAAACCCAGGCAGCCTGCCACCTGCTCGGGGCTTCTAAATCGCTCTGCTGTACATCGCCAGAAGTGACCTAAAAATAACCCGGAAGTGACCGAAAGCGAGCCCTAGGGTGGCCAGGGTACGTCTCTGACCACGGGGGTCGAGGACGCTCTCCTCCCATTCTCCTAGAACTACATCCGCCCTACCTTCTTGCCACTGCTGCTCTCCCGGCGCCCACCTCCCCGCCCGGCCCTTCTCTCCTTACAGTAACCCCGTCTCTTCAGGTCCATGCTCCTCTGCTTTGCCCTCTGCAGCTGCAGGGAGGGGGAAGGGGAGCTCAAAGCTCAGCTGCCTTTCTCACCCCTGGAGGCTCTGATTAAATTGGTCCCCGCATTAGAAGGGTTTTTTTTTAAAAGCTCCCCAGGCGTTTGCGATGTTCAGCCTCCGGTGGCTGTTCACCCACAGGTGTGCGCCCTGCACCTGTAACCTCCCGGCTGCCTTCACTTCTCCACGTAGCTCAGAAGCCACAGTTTGCCCTCGCCCTTCGCCTCCGCCTCACCTTGATTGGCGTCACGTATCAGTTTGCCCAGTTGTCCTGGATCCATCCATCCAGTGTCTTCAGCTTCTCGGCTTTCAGGATCCTGCCGAGGGCAATGGCTGGCCACGCCGGTTAATACTACGACACATTCATGGTCTCAGGTCACTGTCTGGAAGAGCTCGGTGTCAGTCTTTAGTACTGTCTGCTGCACCTTCGAAGTCTCCTTGGCAGCTTGCTCTAATCCTTGGCTTGCTGTAGTATCCAGTCAGGTCATTGCTTTCTTTCTTTCTTTCTTTCTTTCTTTCTTTCTTTCTTTCTTTCTTTCTTTCTTTCTTTCTTTCTTTCTTTCTTTCTTTCTTTCTTTCTTTCTCCTTGGCTTGCTGTAGTATCCAGTCAGGTCATTGCTTTCTTTTTCTTTCTTTCTTTCTTTTTTTTTCTTCTATGGCTAGTTCTTTGGCCTTAATCTATATTTGCAGATGTTCTTACAAAATCCCCCCAGGTCATTCTTGGGCCCTTTCAATTCTGTAGTTTTAGGGAAACTCAGCATTTCACTAGTTTATCTGCTTTTCTTACCTTTTTACAAAGTTTTTTTTAAAATTATGTATTTATTTATCACCACATGTATGTGTTTGGGATGCCACGGTGAGCGTGTAGAGGTTAAGGATAGCGCTCAGGGGTCAGTTCTTTTTCTACTTGTGTGAATCTGGACCCGAACTCAAGATGTCAGTCTTGGCAATCATTTCCTTTTATCTGCTGAGCCTCTTTATTAGCTCTAGCTACTTAAAAAAAAAAACTGTCTACTTCTGGGCTCCCTCACATGCGTTCTTGCTGCTAAAAAGTCCTCAGAAGTCACCACGTTCATCCCTGAATATGGTGGACATTTTATTGACCTGCCTTCCTGGCGGCGTCTACTGCTGTTCTCCACGTTTATTTTTATGTGTGTGTTTGTACGTGCCTGCTCGTCCGTATGTGCTCTGCGCTCAGCTTTTATGGCTGTTACCACCAGTTCCTTGAGCTCAACCCTGGACTCATCCAGGTGTACGTGAGCCACACCTCGGCTCCGTCTGTCGTGGGGCCCCGAGGATTCTTCATCTGTGGTTTCTTTCGACTCTTCCTCTCCTGTGTTCCCTTCTTCCAGCATTCCGAGCCATGCAGCCTTTTTTTTTTTTTGCTTCTTTCTTTCTTTCTTTCTTTCTTTCTTTCTTTCTTTCTTTCTTTCTTTCTTTCTTTCTTCTGGAGAATTAGAATATCTTCCCCTGCCTTCCGCCTGTATTTTGTTCTCTTCACTTAATGCAAAAATAATTCTAGTTGTTTCATTTTGTTCTTTCAGGGTTACTTTTCTTTTCTTCTCGAGACAGGGTTTCTCTGTAGCTTTGGAAGCTGTCCTGGAACTCACTCAGTAGACCAGGCTGGCCTCGAACTCAGAGATCCTATGGTCTCTGCATGAGCCACCCCTTTCCAGCTCATGGTTACTGCTTGCTGTCTCTTCAGCTTTGCCCTTGAAGTGGAAGGGAGTTTTACAGCGGGGGTTGGGGGGTGGGGGAGGGGGGAACACGGACACGGACGACACAGCACTTTCCCAAGCTTGGATGTGCTAAAACTCAGGTTCTGTTTCAGCAGAGGGGAGGGTGGGGGCAATGGAGTGGGCCACACTCAGGCGACACCCAGCCAGCAAGAGCCTTTTCTTTCTCCCTCCCCCATAGTGGTCCAAGCTTGCTCAACTGGTACTCTTGTCACAGCACTAATTTGAACAAGGTGAGAAATACCCATGTGTTCCAAGCCCTTAGAACTGCAGAGATAAGGATACACATGCAGCCTGAAGGGAAAGAAAGGGAAGTCTGTGTAGTGTCTTCAAACAGAAGGAAAGCTCTAGTCCCAATGAGTTTCCAGGTTGGTTTCAGTTTCTTGATTTTGCTGCTCTTTGTATTTTCCCGGGTCTCCATGCCTGGCTGTTTTTACAGGATGCAGGCATTTTGAATTTCACTCTCTTGGGTTCTGGGTGTTTTTGTTTTGTTTGTTTGTTTTGTTTTGTTTTCTGGAATCAGTTCTATCCCCTGCATGTAGAGGAGTCTGAGGAAGTGTGCTTGGGTTGCCTGTCCTGCATGTGACCAGGAGGCGAACTCAGAGGAGTAGTGGGCTATTGTGGCCCTCCCCTCCTTTTGCTCCTGTGTCCTGTGAATCTGTCCTTTTTACCTAGTACTCTGTAGCTATTCTTTCCTAGATTTTAACAGGTTGGTTTGGGGTGGGAGGACAAATCCAATTGGTGTTGCTTTATTTTGTCTGGAAGTTGAAGGGGGAAGACTTGGGTTTTTCGATTCTTCATTAAGTTACAAAAGAGAAGAGGCTTCATGGTGTTTGTAATAGCCGCACACCACAAACAACCAGGTGTCAGCAGCAGGCAGATAGATAACATGTGGCTCATTAGTAGAAGGAATCCTATAATGAGGATGAATAAGCTACAGCCGAATGATCAGTGTGGGCCAATCTCATTCTAACATAATGGTAAACAAAAAAGCCAGATATTAAAGGACATGCAGAAATGCTGTTGTCTAATGACCTGAGTATGGGCTGTAGGAAGTTTTACCTTAGCAAATTCCTTGAATTATGTATTTATATGTGACTTTGCATTATGTACCAATAAAAATATATGCATTGTGACTGAAAGGTCAAGGACATAAGCCATATGCAATGGTGGTTTTGCAGAACTGGGTTCCCAGTATGAAGCCCAGAAGGAGAAAGTGCAATTTAGAACCCCAGCAGAAAGCAAGTCACCTGGTGGACACCTGTGAGCAGACCCGTGCATTGTACAGATACCACAAGTCCAAATTCATGCTGCTCGCCTATCAGGAAAATGGTCTGTTTATACCATTTGGAAAAAAAAATGTTACTGTGAGTTTGGTTTATAACACACTGGCCACAGTCTAAGGAATTACTCCTGCATGTGATTGGGCAAATTGCTGTCTTAGCTCCAGAACACCGTTTTGTTGACACACCTGAGTTGTTTAGCATTTGCACAATTATCCTTTTAAAGCACAAGTCATTGACAGTAGGTAATGTGTCTGTCAAGCATATATCTCAAATACAAAGGGTATTATTATCTAGTATGCATTGGTATTCAATAAACAAATGCTAGATATGTGTGGAGTAATGCTGTGTGTTAGAGCAGAGTGCTAAACTTGCATGTTGTTGATTAAATGGACATTCTTTTATGGTTTTGATAAATATTTCAAGTAACCTGCACCCAAGAGATTTGTTGGCTGTATTACATAAAGTCAAAACAGTGTTCTCCAAAGCGGGATTACATACTCTAGGGAGGGTGAGCTCCACATGGATCTCTTGGCATATGGAAAGAAATACTAAGGACTGATTAGGCAAAGAGAAACTGCACAATGTGATTTGGTTTTAATGTGTGAGAAATTTCAGGTATGGTCCTTATCCATTCTCTCCATCCATAAACTTAGAAGCCATAATGAGTTTGTACAGCAGAACTGCATTATCCATACTAAAAGCTCAAGAGAAAGGAGGTATATCAATATCCTTAAAGTAAGGAATCTTAATAAAAAAAATCTAACAGTTAGAAGACCATTTTAGTTTAGAAGACCCCTGTTCCTGTTGCTAACTTAGCCACAGCCTGCCGGATACAGTGGAATTATTAGGGGACTCCGTTTGTTATAAATTGATTGATGAGCATGTTCACATGAGAGTTTTGAGATACTATTTTTTTTAAACACTCAGTAGATCCATGGGTATGAATCACTAGATTTTACCAGTATAGGGGGTTCCTCAAACTACAAATAACTACCATTTGATTCATTTCACTTCTGGGTGGATAGCAAAAGGCATTCAGGTCAGCACATAGATGTCCCTACAGACTCATATTTATTGAGGCATATATTTGCAATAGCCAAGCTGCAGAGTCTGACTAGTTATCCATCAGCAGATAAACAGATGAAGAAAAGATTGCATACGTTTTATTCAGCTATACAGAACAACAAAATTATGTCATTTGCAGGAGAGGGGGTGGTGGTGGTGGTGGTGGAACTGGAGTTCGTCACATGAAGAGAAATTATCCAGCTTCAAACAAATACCATGTTTTCACTTATATGCAGAATTAAGATTAGTAATAATAGGTGTGTGTGAGGGGGCGTGGTAAAGAGGCCGCCCTCATGACCAAACACCATTATCAGGAGGAAGGTTTCTATTGTGAATAAGAGAGAACACCCAGAAACATCTGGACGAGTCCAGAGCAAAGAGAAAGAAAACGGAGACTGGACGTGGCCGGAGCTATCCGGAAGAAAAGCAAGAGAGAACAGTGAAGACAACTGGTAGGAGGGAAAACTTTTCTGTTGTATGGAGAACAAATGGGTGTCTGGGGGGAGCAGGGATCAGGCTCTGAGGTATATGATAAGTACTGGAGTAGAGACTGAGGGAACCTGGAGCCAGCATGGGCTTTGATGTGCAGCCACTGGTGCCTACCCCTTCTGCCAGAGGCAAGGGAAAACGACTCCTTTTGGGCATGGGGAACCCATTTCACATGTACCCGAGGGGATGCTGGGAAAGCCACCGGAAATCCTCCTGTAGTTCATTCAGCAGGAGCTCATTTCTAGACATACGATTCCCTGAGACGACGTCGTTATCATCATGATCATGATGATAATAATAAGCATGAAAACAGAATGGGGGACTCTTGTGACAGATAGGAACAGAAGGGGGTACAAGAGAAAGTAATGGGAAGCAGTGAATCTGGTCAAAGTATATGCTATCCTAATAGGAACTTGTTACAATGAAACATTTTCATTTATCCGGGTGGTGGTGGCATGTGCCTTTAATCCTAGCCCTCCGGGAGGCAGAGCAGGTAGGTGAACCTACAGAGTGAGTTTAAGGACAGTTACACAGAGAAACCCTGTCTCAAACAAAAAAAAAAATCATTTCTGGGTTTTTGTCTTTGTTTTGCCTTTATTCTCTATGATGCTGGGTAGTTTGCTCGAATCCAATGTCCAGTTCTGTCTTCTACTGCTGTGTGAAATTTTCTGTCTTATCTGACCTTAGAACTGCTCATGGCATAGAGCAGTGGTTCTCAACCTTCCTAACACTGCGGCCCTTTAATACAGTTCCTCGTGTTGGGGTGACCCCAACCATACAGTGATTTTCATTGCTACATCATAACTGTAATTTGGCTGCTGTGACGGACTGTGGTGTAAATGTCTGTTTTCCAATGGTCTTAGGCTGTCCCTGTGAACCAATGGTGCATGCTTTGCACATGGCTGTTTTTAATGTGTGTTCTGGTTGTCCTGATAGGGTTCCATGCCTCCTCTGCAATTGAATTCTGGACCCAGGACCACAGAGAGCCGTTTTCTAGGAAGACTGTCTCCTCATACCTCGGCCACCGAATCTAAGATAAACAGTATCTCCAACTTCCTCCTAGGGCCTGTCTTTCAAGGATCCAGACATTGACACAAGGGTGTCCAAACAGATTTTTTAAAAAAAATCTTCCAGTAGTTGGCCCCCCAGGCACTCACTTGGGCTCCAGTCTGCAATCACTCTGCATTCCATGTGTGTGCTCTGTCAGGTCCATTTTCAGAATCTCTTGAGGGACCAGACAGGTGCCTTAGGCCTGCAATCCCTACTGTTCAGAGACTGAGATAGGAGATCAGGAGTTCAAGGCTAGCCTGTGTTACATAGCACGACTGTCTCAGTCTCGGGAAAGATGAGTAAGAATGAGTGACAGGTAAATTGTGGACGTGGGATTAGATGGAATGGGCAGGAGTGACAGGAAAACTTTCAAGAGACCCTCACACTATTTTTATTATTATTTTTTTTGTGTGATTTCAACTATGTTACAAGTTCAGGCGGCTAAACTGTGCAAGGTGAACTTTGTTTTTACTCCCGTAATCCAGATGCCCTTTTACCAGATGGGTTTCGGCAGACATCTCTCTGGTTTGCCCATTTGTTAGGAATGGGGAAGATGTATTTGTGTGTATGTGATCATTAACTGTTAGATCCTGGCTTTTTGCTTCCATCTAGCGCTGTGGTTGAGGTGAAGAACCCTGTAGATTGGTGTTTTCCAGTGTGCCGTGGGTGGCCTGGCATTTTGGCAACTATTAAGAAAAATTTATGATCACTGCTCGGGTGTTGTGGTAATGTTAGACAGCCATACTTTAGGTTTTCTGAACACCTTCTCTCAACTTCTCGTTGCAAAGCAGTAAAGCCCCTGGTGGGGCAAGTCTACACTTGGGTGGTGTTCCAGCATTTCCTAGCATTTGGTGGTGTGGGTCAGAGGTTAACACTTCTACTCTTTAAACTTGTTGATTCACAGTCTCCTATTGTCTGCAACATAGTTTCCTCTGCTGAGGTGTTTCAATGGCCCGTATCTAAAACCATAGATGCTTATTGTTTGAAAATTTCTTTCTCTTTTGGGGGGCACGCCACCTGGCTCCTAAATGAATGAATCACTCAGGGAGGCTTATTCTTCTTAGTTATGAATACCTGGCCTTAGCTTGCCTTGTTTCTAGCCAGCTTTTCTTAAATTAACCTGTCTACCTTTTCCCTCTGGGCTTTTTATCTTTCTTACTTCTCTATATCTTATTTCAGCTCGTTATATAAACACCATCAGGTGTCTTAGACAGGCAAAGAATCACAGCTTCACCAAGTTGAACAAATGCAGCATAAACAAAAGTCATACACCTTAGAATAACATTCTACCACAGGCGCTTGCTGCAGTACCCTCCGCCTTCCTCTGCAAACCTAAGCTGACTGGTCTGCATGGGGTACTGTCATTGGCGTACCTTCAAGTCATCCATACATTTGTAGTGTCTGTGGTACAGTTCTTTGAATTGAAGATGTGAGGGTACCAACGGTGCTTTTGGTCTGCTTAGAAGGTCTTGGTTGGTCTTCACACTCCTGGCAGGGTGGCCTCCTGGCTGGAGCAATCCCAAGATGCTGTTGATTGCAGAGACGTCAGTGTGGAGACCCCTGGATCCTAGGACACCTTGTGGGTGGACCCATGAGTGCCGCCACGTCTAATTACCGCCAACTGCCTGCAGACTGGCTGATGGGACGGACCTGCAGTGTGCTAAGTGTAGAGGGAGAAATTCCACCACGCTGTTGAATAGCATCTCTTCTGGCTGATGTCAACTTGGCACATCCTCTCTTCTCCAATTGGCTGAGTGTCCCTCATTAGGAAAAGTAGTGTCTTTGGCATGGACCAGCGATGTGAACCCGAGCCAGCTTCTCTGTGAACCGGTGATGCTGGTGTATCTTCTAATATCTCTGGGATACATTTCTTTTTCTTTTTTTGTTTTTGTTTTTGTTTTTTTGAGACAGGGTTTCTCTGAGTTGTTTTGGAGCCTGTCCTGGAACTCGATCTGTAGACCAGGCTGGTCTCAAACTCACAGAGATCTGCCTGCCTCTGCCTCCCGAGTGCTGGGATTAAAGGCATGTGTCACCACCACCCGGCTGATACATTTCTTTTTTAATCTGAGTTGTTTTTTTGTTTGTTTTGCTTTGTTTTGTTATCCTTCCTTCGACCCTCTTTCCTACCCCGCCAGCCTGCCGTTAGACCTTCCATTTGCCTTATTCTCTTGCTTCTGTGCAGCCTGCCCATTGCTGCTTTATAGCAATTTCTCAAAGTACGCTCATTAACTTCCATGGTCTTTTGGTACACACAGTACATATAAAGGCTTTACCCTACCCTTAATAGCTCTCTGGTTACTTCCTGGCCATCTGAGAGGTAGGGCAGTCTTGTCGGCAAGAGGTGATCTGAACTTTTCCTGCTTGCATAAGCAGACATCTCACCCTCTAAACTGTCTCCCACAGCCTGCCATTCATCTCCTCAGCTCAAAATTCCTGCTCTGTGACCCCCCTGGTTACCAGGCACTGAGGGCACCGCAATGAGTGACCAGCGTGCAGGATGCATCTGTGTGCCAGTCTTCATTGGAGAACATGCGTTCTGCTTCCTGCTAGTTTTCCTAAACTGAAGGCTAGTTTTGTTCCTCTTCTCTTCATTTCCAGGTCCCTTTCTCAGAAAGATGTCAGCTTTGAAAACTCTTCATCCTAGTGCCGAAATGTCACCCAGTTGGTAGAGGGTTTGGCTAGCATGTATGAAGCCCCTAGGTTTGATCCCATAAACGGGGCGTGGTGTGCATGCCTACAATCCTAATACTTGAAGGCACAAGAAGATCAAGGTTCAAGAGTGCCCTTGGCTGTACGAGACCCTGTCTTTAAACAAACAAACAAACAAACAAACAAGCAAACAAACAAAACAACAACAAAAATATAAACAAAAGCAGCTTCCCCTGAGGCGCCCAAACCGATTGCATCTGGGTGTTTCTTGCTTTGTTCTGCCTGCCTCTCTTTCTCTCCACCCTTGTGCTTAAGTAAGTCTTCATTAAAGTAGTTAGTCCCAACTCTGCTCCGAAAGAAAAACAAAGGACAGGAAAGGCTCTGTTAGGGTTTAGTGATCTATCAGTGTGCTTCCTTTTCTTTTTCTCACTGGCACATCCCCTAAAAATAACTCTTGTGTCGTTTTTTTTTCTTCAGGCGGTTACACCTCAACAAGAAGGCAACAGACAAGCAGCCGTATAGCAAGCTCCCTGGTGTCTCTCTTCTGAAACCGTTGAAAGGGGTGGACCCTAACCTAATCAACAACTTGGAGACATTCTTTGAACTGGATTATCCCAAAGTAAGTGTAGTGCTGTGCCCATGAGAGATGTACTAGGCTGTTGATCTTGTTTTTTTTGTGTGTGTGTGTGTGTGTTTGTTTTCCCTCATCAGAAACATTGGGAATTTTAACACCGTATATAAGTTCTATATACATAAGATTAAAGTAAGCTTTACTTACAATAAGAAAGCTGGAAGGTTTTCAAGCCCATGTTCTATAAGTGAATGCAAAGGAAAGTTTATTTTTGTGAATGAAAAAGATTATTCTGTTAATTATGAACAAGTCCTAGCATCTGGCTTAGCATCCGCATGTCTCTGGTGTGGAGTATAGCCTCACATTTTGGTTTTGCTGCCATCATCCCATTAAAGCCCAAAGAACTAGTCCCATGTGGCTCTGTTCATGTTCTGTAGTACCCTGGCGCATTTAAGTTGGTGGAAGAGAAAAGCTGTTGTTAGTCTTCGGTATGGAATAAGCAACGGCAGCATATGCCAGAGGCAGTTTCTAGTCTAGCCTAGTTTAGTTTCTGAAGTAGAAAGCCAGAGGGATCCATAATGTAATGTACCTGCATCTAAGGTAAACTTTCATTCTGACAGTATTTTACTTTAAAAACATTAGCATAAGTGTAGCACAAAACCATATAGTTCTTGAATACAGATTAACGTATTCAATATTATCTTTGAAAACTTTTGAATTTAGAGGTATTTTCTTTAAAAACCTCCCCTTTCGGTGCCTTTTTTTTTCCCACTCAGAAATTACCCAAATGAACTCACAAGTGAACTTGTCACCTGTTCTAGGCCAGCAGCTGCTCTAGGGGACTAAGAGTCTAAGTTCAGTTACAGGATTTATATTCTATTGTAATTCAAGTATAAAATTCTGTAAAACCTAGAGTATGAAATTCTTTATAAGTAGTGGCTCAAGATATACATGTGTGTGTTTGCTTACTTGAGAGGGTATAGGATGTGTCTCCATAGAGCACTTGCCTGTGCCGCACGTGAAGCCATGTAGCATAAACTAGATGTGGATTCTGGCCAGTAGCCATAGTCCCTGGTACACAGGGAATTGGAGGCCAGTGTAGGCTACAAGAAGCAAATGGAGGAGAAAAAAAGGTTATTTTTCTTGATGTGCAGTATAATTCATTCACATATTAAAACATATTTTAGGACTTAGGATGTAGCTTGGTGATAAGAGTTTGTGTTTGGCGTGTGCAGGGCCCTGGTTTCAACCCCCAGAACCACCACTTAAAATTGTTTTGAATGGTATTTTGCCTCTCTTAAAATATCTTAAAGGTATATTTTAATATGTACTGTATTTTTAATATGTATATGTGTCCAGTCTTCTAAATTATAAACAATACCCCAAAAGTTATTTTCATGTATTAGCTAGGAAACATTTAACCATGTGTAGCGTTTGCCAGTTATAATTGGAGGGACTGGACTGTTTTAGGGCAGAGATTCCTAGCAAATACAATGTTCAGTCACACCAGGAGGACACAGAGGTGACAGACCAGAACCTCATTACAGTGTGATGCTTCAAAAAAAAAAAACACTTAGCATGCTTCCTCCAGTTGAATAGAATTCTTTAAAAAAAAAAAAATCTGTCGTAGTGTCCTCTCCAAGATAATGTGAATTGAGTTTTATTTGTTTGATGGCTAATTAAAGCTTTTCCTTTTTAATTCTGGGATTAAATTTAAAAGGTATAATCAAGTTTGGAAACTTGAGGCCTTGTGATTGAATAAAGATCGCACATTATGCTTTTCAAAAATTTTGGCATGGGAATAGAGAGCTAACTCAGTAGTTAAGAGAGTTTAATTCTTGGTACCCACAGCTGGTAGCTCACAACTGCCAGTGACTAACTACAGAAAATCGGACTCTTATGGCCTCCACAGGCACGCACACACACACATACAATCATTTATTATTATTATTCTTTTATTATTAAGATTTTGGTGTGACCTGGCTTATCTCTTTTTCTTCCCATTGAGTATATTTTACCGTTATATTTTATGAAGTTTTGTCTTGCTGGGGAGAAAGCCACAATAAGCCTCTTCCCCTTACTCGGTGTCTTGTAGAATCATTACTTAGAAGCCCTTCCCTCCACACCCGTGAGATGGTACACATTATAATGCACAAGCAAGGAATATTCTTTAGGGTGCACCTGCCTGGCCGAGCCGCTTATTAGAAAGGGAAAAAAAAAAGGCTATCTGTTATTTTTGCCACTTAGAAAGCCACTTAACCTTTCTAATCTTCTTAATTTTTTTCCTTTTTTTTTTGTAATCTTCATTATTAAGGACACAGTCTTCCTCCACTAAGTGTTTTGAGAGATGGGGAAGCTTGTAGACCTGGCCCTCCGGGACACGTCAGGGGCGTGGTGGGAATGGCAGCCTATGCTCTCTCGGACTTCCTTTCATCGGATCTTTTGAGGCCGGATGACTAATAATCGGCCTAACCCCTCTTGAGTAGCGCTTTTGATCAGTCATCACCGAAATAGATATTGGATAGAATTTGTATAAAGAGGCAGAAACCATGAGGGATTGTTTTCACCATCTTCTTAATTATTGGGACTTTTTAGTTTTTTAAAAAATAAAAAAACCAGAATCCCCACTTTACTGACTAGCGCTTTCTTGACTTTGGTCCTGGTTCTCTCGTGGCGTGGCTCAACCACAGGTGCCTTTCCTGCCAGCGTTTGGTGAGATAAGATGGATGGATGTCAGAGGCATCACGGATGTGTCCTGTCTGTCTCTGCGTCTCTTGTTTACAGAGAAGCAAGCAGCGGCTTTCCCGTGGCTTGAGTGAGCCCCCGTGATGCAAGCACTCCAGAAGTTATAGGACAGCTGGGGCAGGGTCACTCAAGCTCTCAGAAATGCCTTTCCAAACCCACAGCATGGAGCAAAACGAAGTTCTGGGTGTTTTCATACTTACTGGGTCAGTGAAGTATGCCTTTCAGGGTAGTAAGTATTCAGTCAAATCCTATTTTATCTAAAAAAAAAATTTTATCTAAAACAGCAAAATAAAATTAAAAAAAAAAAAGAACTCTAATCACATTTGTAGCATGTCATGAAAGGGATACTACTAATTCCAGGGCAGGGATTCTGGAGAATAGGGAGTGTGCTTGGTTTTGCTTCATCCCAACGTAGTTTTTACACTCATGCACATCTTGCAAGCATCAAGTGTGTGTGTTCAGTGGTTCAGGTTGTGAACAAGCTTGATATGCAGGTTGTCATTGGGGCGGGGCCTGCCAGGCACTCTCAGGCTCCTCCTGATGCTGACAGACAGGTCCTTGGCCTGGAGGAGCTGTCTCCACCCAAGCCACCCTTGTCGTAAGCATCTGCATCCCTTAGGATTCCTCCCTAAGCTTGTAAACTTTATGTACACGGTCTCTTGACTCTTCCTCACAGTTTATTAATGTTAACAGTAATAACGGTGAGATTAACCAATGTTAAATTCCTCCTTTTGACTAGTATGAAGTACTCCTTTGTGTACAAGATCATGATGATCCAGCCATCGATGTGTGTAAGAAACTGCTTGGGAAATACCCGAATGTTGATGCTAGACTATTTATAGGTAAGCACAAAGTTTGTGCTGGTCCTTTTGCTTTGGTAGTTTCAGTATCGGTGATCTGCATGGATCTCAGGGTTGGGCGCTCTCTCAGTAAAGTCAGACAGCATGCTTGCTCTAAGCATGTTTGTGGGGGGTGGGGGTGTGTGACTCTAGTTCTAAACTTGGTTTCCAAATGACACACACACACACATATAAATAAATAATATCTTACTCAATAATCAGGTATGAGTATTTGTTGTTTTGTTTTTTAGGGTTTTTTTAAACCTCCCCCCCCTTTTGTTTTTTTTTTTTCTATTTCCATGATCTATCTATTCTCAGGCTCTAGGCCACCTGAGCAGTGTTGGGCATAGGCTCCGTCTCATGGAGTGGACCTTAATTGCTTTCACAATTTTTGTACCACTATTGTACCAGCATGTTTTGCAGGAAGGTATTTTTCCTTTCTCCTCTGGTAGTGTACGAAGTAGAGCAGCCAATAGCCTGGGTTTCTTGGAGGATTTAAAGGGACTCCTTTGGCCCTTTGATCAGTTAGTTGTAACCCATTCCCCACACTGGAGGTTTCATTGGGTAGGGAGAGCTGTCTAGTTGGGGCTTTGTCTCTCCCATTATTTGGTGAATCCTATTAAGTTTCTTTCATATATGTACATATTTTGAGAAGCTTCTGCTGTATTAGGTTTCTATATGCCCCCTCAGTTGACCCTTAGTTTTGGCTGTCCCTCCCATATTGCCCATAACATATAGCATGATGTTTTAAAGTATGTGTATACTGTGGAATGGCTACATCAAATTAATTAACATGCATACTTAACATACTGGTTTGTGGTGAGGAATCTTAGCAGTTTTCAGGTACTCAGCACATGGATGTTTTAATATCATTATATTGTAATGTTATAATATTAAGCATCAGCCCATAGTGTCAGTGGAAGAATTTGCAAACTAGAAAACAGACTGTATGGTCAAAAATAAAGTCAGAACTATCCCTTTGCGAATGAGTCATTTTTACAGATACAAGTAATGGGGAATATTTAAAGATTAAAAATGGTTTATCTTTCTTTCTCTTGCCATCGTGTATCTATAGCATTTTCAGCATTATATAAATGTGTTGCTATTGTGTCTTTGCATTTCTAGGTGGCAAAAAGGTTGGCATTAATCCTAAAATTAATAATTTGATGCCAGGATATGAAGTTGCAAAATATGATCTCATATGGATTTGTGATAGTGGGATAAGAGGTGAGATTTTCTTATTTTATGCAAGTATTCATTTAATGATAAAATACCAAAAACATTTTGAAAATACATTGTTTACCAATCTTCGGTTTGCTTGAACATTTACTTCATCACTATTTATGGTTTTATGTCAGTTTTGCTCACTAAGATTTTAATTTTTTTAAGCTAACCTAGATAGATGTTAGATGTATTAAAACGCTTGCATTTTGAAGAAAAAAAATTCAGCAAGAAGGTTTTTTGTTTGCTTGTTTTATTTTTGCTTTTTTAATGGTTATTTTTGAGGCCTTTTGAGACAGGGTCTCATTATGCAGCCTTGGAATTCACCATGTAGACCAGGCTGACCTTGAACCTGTGACTATTTTGTCTTTCCCTTCTGACTACTGGAGTTACAGGTATGAACCACCTTGCCTGCTGCAAAAAGCCTTTTACATACCAAACTTAGGATTTATAGGTGTATACATCTGTGTTATGCTCTATGGTATTTTTGTTAGATTGAGTTCCTCATCCTCAATCCTAGTGACAGAGTGGCCTGGAGAGTTTGTCATGGAGGAAACGTTGTCATCGTGCCTGGTGCCTACACCTGCTGGCTGCCAACCCTTCCCTCTTCTCAATTTTCCAAATGTCACTAATGAAGAATTGTTCCTGGTTGAGAACCACTGCCTAAAATAGGGGAGATTTTTTTTTATCTTGAAGTGCTGGCAATTGAACACAAGGCTTCACCCATAACCAGCAAGTGCTCTGTACCACAGCCCCGACCCACCCCTAACTTGGGATCTTTCTCTTGCTGCAGTCTCCTGAGTAGCCAGGACTACAGGCCTGCATCATGAGGCTCTATCGCCACATGGGTATTTAAAGCACAGACAAAACTCTTTTTCTTTTATACCATTCAGTTCTTAACAAATAGAAGGAAATGAAAACAATCATGTAGGGTTTGAAGTGTTTGCCATTTGAAGGTTGGACATTGGTTCATTTTTCATTACCTTAAGATGTAAATTTGAGTTTTTCAAGGCAGGGTTTCTCTGTGGCTTTGGAGGCTGTCCTGGAACTAGCTCTTGTAGAACAGGCTGGTCTCAAACTCACAGAGATCCGCCTGTCTCTGCCTCCCAAGTGCTGGGATTAAAGACGTGCACCACCAACGCCTGGACAGTGTATAATTATTAAGCTTAGCAATATTCTTTCAAAGAAGACAAAAACTGCCTCTAGCACATATTAGGTGTACCCCTCAACCTAAAAATGTGGAGCTTTTGAAGCTTTGTGTTCTCAGAATAAATGATTGCTATTTATTAAATCCAAATGTTCAAAAGAATGTATTATTTTAATAGCAAATCACAAAATAGTACATTAACGGGCATTTTACTAAAAGTTGTGTTTTGTTTTGTTTCCTTTCCCTATCCCTGCCTTTATTCCCCCTAAATTTTAGTCATTCCAGACACGTTGACTGACATGGTCAATCAAATGACGGAGAAGGTGGGCTTGGTTCATGGGCTGCCTTATGTAGCGGACAGACAGGGCTTTGCTGCCACATTGGAGCAGGTAAGTGCAGTGTATAAAATTGTGACACCAGCTCATTGGTCTCCATGAGACCGGGCTACCTGACCTTACCTGTATTGCCCATGTGGGAGCCTGCAGAGAGCACTCCGGTTCTTCAGGAAGGAAAGTTCTCGGGTCCCTGGGGTCACCCACCACCGAGCTGCGCTCACCCTGACAGGAAGGGAACTGCTGGTGGCCCTGCCCCCAGATGAACACTCCTTTCCTCTCCATAACGTGTTTACTGACTTCTAGACATTCACTCCAGACTGTTGGCTTACATATGTTCTTTCAAACTGAAAAGTATTCTGTGACATAAAGTACTTCAAATACAACAAGAAAACGATGTTCTTTCTTGCAAGTCTTTATTTTAAAAAAAAAAAAGATCTTTGATTTCCTTTTGAAGTAAACTATCTTGAAAAACATGTCTCCCTCTTTCTCCTCCTCCTCTCGGGTAGGGAGTGAAAAATTATGGAGACACAGAAGCATGCCACCCCCACCACCCACCAATTACGGCAATTAAGGTTTAGTTTCAGCCGGGCGGGTGTTGGTGGTTCACTCACACCTTTAATCCCAGCACTCGGGAGGCAGAGGCAAGCAGATCGCTTTGAGTTCAAGGTCAGCCTGGTCTACAGAGCAAGTGCCGGGACAGGCTCCAAAGCTACATAGAGAAACCCTGTCTCTTGAAAAACTGAAAAAAAAAAAGGTTTAGTTTCATTTGGTCATTTTTGGCACACATTGTGATGGGTTTTGTTTTTATGTTTTTCTTATGTGCCCTTTAAAAAAACATGGTTGAAAGTGTACTCTAGAAGCAATTTGTATATTAGTTTTATCACTTCATGAGCTTTTCCCATATTAAAGCCTCACAAAGGGCATTTTTTTTTACTGGCTAACTCCTAATCTGTCTTATCTACCATACTATTAAACAGAAAGCAAGTCTTGTCTCTGTGTCAGAAGGGAAAAGACTCTTGGTTTTGGTTTTGATGTCTATCCACTTTCTCTTCAGTATATCTTATGTTCACTTGATTACTTTTCTAATTGCTACAAATCTGAAAGGGTAAAAGGCACATTATTGTTAGAACTTTGACCTTTGGCCATTGGATCTCTCTCTGTCTCTGACTCTCCCGGGTATATGCATGTAGGAGGGTGAATACTATGTATATGTATGTTCAGGTGTATGTATGTAGGAGGATTTCAGTCAGCCACACTGTTGATGTATCAACTTGCGCATCTCAGGACTTCAAGGTGTTATAGAGAAAGAACAGTAAGAGATTAGGAGCTGGAGAGATGGTTCAGCAGTTAAGAGAGAGTACTGTTCTTGCAGAGGACCAGAATTGGGTTCTCAGCACCCAAGGTGGGCAACTCACAGTAACCTGTAACTCCCATCATCAGAGGATTCTGACCCTCCAGCCTCCACAGCCCCTGCATTCAGGTGCACGTAACCCCTCCCCCCCACAGACTTACACGAATACACCAAATTAAAAATAACTTTAAGAAGAAATAGAATTATCCCAAACATTGGTACACCTGTACATGGTCTGTGTATATGTATACATGCTCATACACACACACACACACACACACACACACACACACACACACACACACGCCATTAAATATTATAAAATCAGGAGACATAAAACACTTGTTGATATTTTATATACCAATTAATATTTATTCTGTTTTTTGTGTCCAAATTCCATTTATCAATTTTAGAAAAGATAATAGTTACCCAAGTGTAGAATATGCTTTTTCCCTCTAGAGGTAAAATTTCTTGGTAATGATACTAGTAAGAGCAGTCAGCCAAACAACTCTACAGTAATTACTACAGTAAAGCACTTATGCGCTTTTTATTGGGGGGGGCGCTGATGTGAGCATACTAGGGTACTCACTCAATCATATTTAACAGAAAGCATTGGAAAAGTTTATAAGCACTGTACTTTTAACATCAAAACCTAACTGATCATGTCTGTGTTTTCTTGGGCAGGTGTATTTTGGAACTTCACACCCAAGATCCTATATCTCTGCCAATGTCACTGGCTTCAAGTGTGTGACAGGAATGTCTTGTTTAATGCGGAAGGGTGTGCTGGATCAGGCCGGAGGGCTGATGGCCTTTGCTCAGTACATTGCTGAAGATTACTTTATGGCCAAAGCAATAGCCCACCGGTAAGAAGACTGGATTTTTTCTTTTTTTTTTTTTAGTTTCTAGCTTATTCCTTCCTACTGGCTCTTTCTTTCTGTTCCAGCATGGATTCAAGCTATTTTATTTTATTATTTCTGCTCATGAATACAAAAATCGGCAGAGCGTTTATTTATGCTCAGTATTCCTCCATTTCCTGCAGCTGCCACCGTGTGAAGCTTTCGAGAGAATGTAGGTAGAAATCCCTGTGTGTCTGGGAAAAACTAAAAGCGCTTGGTAGCATCTGGAAATTAACTTTCTACAATTTTTTAAAATTTAATTTTATAAGTACGAGTGTTTTACCTGCACGAATGTACACCATTGTGTACGTCTGGTGTCCCTGGAGGTCAGAAGAGGGCGTCTGATCCCCTGGAGCTGGAGTTGCCTACAGACTGTCGTGTGCCGCCACGAGGGTGCCGGGAATCGAGCCTAGGTCCTCTCCAAGAGTAACAAGTGCTCTTAAACTGCCGAGCTAGCTCTCCAGCCCCCAAAACTATTATGTTTATTAGCACATTGTTTCATGCCTCACTAATAAGCCTCCTCACGACTCAGCATTTCTCCATCACAGATGGTGTTTGGGTGCAAAGATCACTGCCTTGTATGATCTCTTATTTAAAATTTTTTTCTTTTGGTGAAGAATATATTCAGAGTTCTTCCATATGGTGCTTTTTTTTTTTTTAATGAGGTTCATGGTCACCTAGTATCTTCTGTGAGACCCGGTGACGCATTGTTACTTTTCTTGTTGAACACACACAGCCCGCCCAGGGGGAGCAACCAACCAGAGGCAAAACTATTGAGTGCGGGTCTCTTCTCGCCGAGTACCTTGAGAATGACTTACGTTTCTTGAACGATAAACCTAGGGAATGTATGTAGCACTCCCTGGGCAGAGCATGGTGCACTTGTGGCGTAATGGAATTGCCCAGAAAACACCCCCAGCATCAGTTTGTTCCTCTTTAAGGGCTGAGCTTGCCCTGAATACCAGCGGCTGCTTACTCTAACGGTGACTATCAGTGCAGAACCAGTCAGGCTTGAGTGTGTCCCTCAACATGACCATATACACCGTCTTTGTCTTCTTTTTCAGAGGTTGGAGGTTTGCAATGTCTACTCAGGTTGCCATGCAAAACTCTGGTTCATACTCAATTTCTCAATTTCAGTCCAGAATGATCAGGTAAACCAATAAGTAACATTCTATACTTGGTTAAAAGGAATGCATGCGCGTGTGTGGTTTGCTACATGGTGCGTATAATATGATTTTAAAAAGCAAATCTAGTGCCGGGCATCATGGAGCACACATTGTGGCGCACATCTGGAATTCCAGCACTTGGGAGGCAGAGGCAGGAGAATCTCTGTGAGTTTGAGGTCAGCCTGGCCATACTGTGGTTCCAGGACAGCCAGAGCTACATAATAGAGACCTATCTTGAAAAAAAAAATACATCTACAGAGTTTAAGTTCTGTATTAAGAGAAATTGAATGCCTAAGTATATTTGCTTAGTAATACTGGAATATGTTTCAAAAACAAAAACAAAAGATGTTCAAACTAAGCTCTGTAAGAGTATAGATTATGTGAATGAATATATAGCCATTTTTATTTAATAAATAGAGAGATTCATAAAACCAGTCTTAGGGCTGGAGAGATGGCTCAAGCCGTTAAAATATAAGCTCATAAAAACAAACAAACAAAAAACAGCTAGGCTCACAACCAAAAATATAAGAGTTCTGTTCCCAGCACCCATGTCTCTCTCCAGCCAAGTTAAAAAAAAAAGAATCCAGGTAGCGATGGTGCACACCTTTAATCCTAGCACTCAGAAGGCAGAGGCAGGTGGATCTCTGAGTTCCAGGCCAGCCTGGTCTACAAATTGAGTTTCAGGACAGTCAGGACTGTTTCACAGAGAAACCATGTCTTGAAAAAAGAATGAACGAGAATGAATGAGTAGAAGAAAATTTGAAAAAGGAAAACTGGGGATGTAGCTATGCTGAAAGACGGCTCTCCCAGCATGCAGAAAGCCCTGGATTTCATCCCCATCGAGGCGCATACTGGGTGTAGTGGTGCGTGCCTGTAATCCCGACACTTGGGATCAGGAACCGAAGGTCATCCTTAGCTACCTAGGGAGTTTGAGGCCCACCTGGGCTATGTGACAGACCCCATCTTAAGAAATATATAAATAGACAAAATAAAAACAGTATTTCAAAGAGGATAGCTTTTCTGTGACAGGGTTAAAAGTTGATCATTTGTGTGGGAGTGGTTGATGGGGGTCTGTTGTGGGGGGTGGTTGGTGGGGATCTGTGGTGGTAGGGGTGGTTGGCGTTGGTGGTTGGTTGGGTCTGTGTGGTAGGGGTGGTTGGTGGGGGGTCTGTGGTGGTGGAAGTAGTTCCAGTAGTGGGTGTCAGGTGGTCACTTTTATAACCAGGATGTTGTCTTAAAGAAAATCCATTTTGCTCTTTGTTTGTTTCTTCAGGTGGACCAAATTGAGAATTAACATGCTTCCTGCTACGATAATTTGTGAGCCGATTTCAGAATGCTTTGTTGCCAGCTTAATTATTGGGTGGGCAGCCCACCATGTGTTCAGATGGGATATCATGGTCTTCTTCATGTGCCATTGCCTGGCGTGGTTTATATCTGACTACATTCAACTCAGGGGTGTCCAGGTAAGCGCACACAGCGAGAGAGAGGGCTCCCAGTAATTTGGTGAGGAACCAAAACTACTTTAGTTTAGAATAGGTTGAAGGACGTTCGAGGGTCATTCTGTAGCTTCACACTGAAGAATAAAACGTAGACATAAAATTGAGAAAGATTTGGGACTTAACAGTTAGTTCAGAAAAATATTAAGCAAATAAATATTCATACCGAGACTGCAGCTATTTTTATGCATAATGAACGTTTTCTTAGACTGGGTTACAAGGTAGTTACCTCACCAAGGAGAGAGAGAGAGAGGAGAGAGAGAGAGAGAGAGAACGAATCTCCTTCCTCAAAAGTACAATCTTGTCCTCCCTTCTACCAGATGGGCAGATGGGTTCTGGAGATTGAACTCTGGTCACCAAACTTTGCCAGCAAGTACCTTTCCTTGCTGAGCCATCTCGCCAGCCTAGAATTTTACCCTTTCATTCACTGTGCATTTATAGTCTGACAGGAAATAAACTGATTCTTACTTTTTAATCCTCAGGGTGGCACACTGTGTTTTTCAAAACTTGATTATGCGGTGGCTTGGTTCATCCGTGAATCCATGACAATATACATTTTCTTGTCGGCATTATGGGACCCTACCATAAGCTGGAGAACTGGCCGCTACAGGCTGCGCTGCGGAGGGACAGCAGAGGAAATCCTCGACGTGTAACGAGAGCCTTGGGACTGCGCACAGAGGATGGAACAGAAGTATTATAAATTATGTTTATAGAGATGCTTTTAAGGATCTACCTTCAGTAGTTTTATCACATGTATGTTTTGGTATCTGCTCTTTAATTTATTTGCATGGCACTCGTCTGTGAAAAGGAAAAACAAAAACAAAACAGGTCTGTAGTCTTGGCCAATAGTATATTTTGTGGAAGTAGAGAATCAAGGCAATTGGTTCTAGGAAACTGGTTTTTTTGTTGTTGTTGTTGTTGTGTTTATTTTTTAAAACAAGTAAATATATATATTTATATATATGCATATATATATATAAATATACACACACACACACACACATATACATGACCGCTCTGCAGCAGACACTATGACAGTATCCTTCAGTAGGGAAAGTTTCTTACCTGAGTGTACTCACTCTGCGATCTGTATGGGCAGGACAATAGCAGCTCTGTGAGAGAAGGGGACAGGTCATGGCCTCCCCCCTGTGTGAGGTGAATGATGATACACAGGGAGGCGCTGACTGAGAAACTTTCTCATGCTTTATGCCTACCTCTTGTAGTTGTTGCAGAGCAAACAGAAGTTAGAAGTTGTGATACGGTAGCTAGGCCTTGCAAAAACAAATGAAAAACTTTAAAAAGTAATAATAATAATTATAAAAGAGCTGGAGTCTAGTATTTATGTATAAGAAACTTTTTTTTGTCCTTTTTTTTTTTTTTTTTTTTTTGTCTCACTGCAATGAACCAAAAGTGGCTGAGATTGGTTTTTAATCCTAACCATGAATTGAAGGCATCTTCCGGACCAACTGTTGTTGGTTCTGTCTTGAACCATGTTAATCACTGTGCTGTAATTAGAAGAGCTGACTCCTTCCTTCCGTGCTCCTCGCCCAGCCTGCCCCGTCTTTCCTCAGCTTTTTTTCAGGGTGGGGGTGGGGGCGACCTTGTTCTAGTGTTAGTGGATGTTTTGATAGTTGTAAGGAAAATGCATTTCAGACACAGTTCACAGGAGCTATTTTCTTACCCAGTATGTCTGTATTGTTAATAAGAATGTAATTTCATGATATAGGTATTTAATATCTTTTTTAAGTAAGTAAATATTCTAGCTATCAGTAAATAAATTACAGTAGAGAATTAAGAGAGAACGTGATGAGGTTTGCTCTTAAAAATCAGTCTGTTATCTAACTGAGTCTACTGTGTGTGTGTTGTTTATTTGGGGTTTTTTTCTGGTTTTTTTTTTTTTTTACTACAATAGTCTAGTCTTATTTAAATTGGATTTTTGTATTCCGTTTGTATGACCGTAGACTAGGTCATTCTAGTTGTAAATGCATGCTTTTACTCCGCTCTTCTCTCCCTGTCACTCAGCTAAACTTGCCTGTCGGCCTGTGCTTAACCTGTGGTGAACTGGACTTTTGTTTAAAATAAGCAAAAAAATGTAAGGGACAGTGCATCAGCCTTTCTCTCCCCCCCCCATCTGTTTTTTTTTTTAACACGGTATTTTGCTTTTCCTTCTGAACTTGGTGGCGATGTTGTCCATCCGATGCCTGCCGCTAACACCAGCACTGTGGCAGCCTCACACCCGATGTTACTGTGGCTTCCGTGTCAGTGCATAGCCCGTAGCCTGTTAGCAATAACTTCCTACTGATAGTGGACACTTCATTCTACTGAGCCAGCCCATTTGCCTAATGACTATACTCACGGTCTAAATTGCAATATGTCTGTAAATGTGTATATACTATAAATACGCACCATGCCTTTTTCTGGGCCAAACTGCATTATCCTCCCTTCCCTCTTTCCCCCCTGGCTTCCCCCTCTCCCCCCCCCCTCTGTCTCTGTGTCTCTGTCTCTGTCTCTGTGTCTCTCTCTGTGTTTCTCTCTCTCTCTCTCTCTCTCTCTCTCTCTCTCTCTCTCTCTCTCTCTCTCTCTCTCGCCTTATGATGAATTTGTTTGAAGGGCATTTTCTTTATGAGCAAAGGCTTGGATGCATCTTCCTTATTTTTTTTTTCTTCTGTGAAATAGGTAATATTGTCCCCCGAGGAGAGTTGCACAGTGAAAACCAGTCTGGTTATGACCCACTATGTGTTTATTTTATTGTTTTTTTGTTTGTTTTCTTTGTCACTCTTCCATGAGTTGAGGTTTGCTGAGCATGTTTGTCATTTGTCCATTATAGTGGAGTTTGGTAGATGCCATCCTTTGCACTGCTGAAGTGAAATCTTGCTGACTACTTAGCTTTTTTGTTGATCTCAGTATGGGCAAAGAAACAAAATCCAAATGGCTGGACAAACTTCTTGTGTTCTGTAAATATTTTTTTAAAATGTTCTGTATGTGTTTTATGTGGTCATGGAGTATTTCCTTAAAGCGGAGCTTCAAGTACGCAGAGAGTAACTCTTTGTTTAGCAAGTTTGGAGTGAAGATAAAATAGTAAGAAATACTGTAAATGTCAAAGTATCACAGCAGAACTGTAGGAGTCCAAATTTATAATAAACTGTCTTTTTAAAAAAAACAATTAAGTGTCTAGAATATATCATGTTTTATTATTTAAAATCATTGTCTTAAGTTTTTTTTGTTCATAAAATAAAAATTTGAATACAATCAACATGAGCAACAATGTGGCTTTGTTTACTCCCTCCCCCTTTATTTTATGCCTTTGATCAGTGATCTGACATGGTCTATCTCAGACATGCTGTCACTCATTTTCAAACCTTCCTTTCATTCGGGCGACACTGGATTGCAGAAGGTAAAAGTACACGCACCCCACCCACACATCATTAATCATCCCGGGTGGGGCTGAATTCTGCTACGCCTGCACTTGGAGAATGACCAGCCCTTTAGTGACAATGACCAGAGCCAGATCTCCCCCGGCTGGCCTGAGCCTGAAATCTGACTTTTCGATTTTATAACTTCCGCAGCTAAGAAAGGTAAATCAGTTCCAGGGAAGGACTGGGTGGTCTTGCTGCCCGAGGTTCTGACCTGCACCACACGCACTGTCCAGGCAGGCCTCTCCTGAGCTGGAGGCGTTCCCAAGCCTGTCCTCAATAAACCATGAGCAACAATTTCTGGAGAGCAAGTCCCACGGGTATGTGGGGGAAGGGCATCCTCCAAAATCCGTGTTGATTGTTGAGCTTCGCACATGCAATGAGTCTTGTTGCATTCCCCAGAGCAAGCTGGCTAGCTAGACAAGCCTAATTGACCTCCAGGTTCAGGAATAGACCTTACCTCTCAGTATATATCGTGGAGAGCGGTCAAGAAGACATCAACTTCTGGCCCCCTCACACATGAACAGACATATACACATATGCAGACACGCCATGTGACACAGACACAAAACAAAACCCTGGTGTTCTTGTTCTGCAGGCTTGGTTTGTGTTCTCTAGAAGCATTTTTATTAGTTAAAACACAGAGAGCAGCAGCCTAAGAACCAGCTCGTGCTAAGGCTTCACAGAGAGACTGGCAGAGTCTGGGTGTCCCGGGGATGTTTTCATGTGGTTATGCTGTTTAGACTATTAGTCATCAAGACATCCATGCTAATAACATAAAGATATAATTACACGACTTAAACAATTCAGGGACATAGTTCCTGTGAAGGACTGAGGATCTGTGTACCAGCTTCGTCTGCAGACTGCATGCCTCCCCATTGTAAGGTGACCTGTTTCCCAGCTCCACAAACCCTGTGACTTCTGTTGTCTGTTCTCATGACTAGCATCAGGCAGACAGAGCAGCCGGCAGCAGGTTGGACCATCTTAATTGATTCTGACGCAAGCACTGGAGCATGGGGAGGGAATAGAGTGGTGATGGACTGGGCTGGGCATCATGGCCCATGCCTGTAATCTTAGCATCTGGGAGGCTGAAACAGAAAGATCCCATCCTGGGCTACATAGAAAGAGCCTACTTAAAACTCAAGTGGAAGAGAGAGGTTTGGGTGGTCATTTCGCCAGGGCTGACGTCTGAAGGTGATGACCATGATACAGGGTGTCAGCAGATGACTCCCGAGGATAGAATCTTGAGGAGCCACTTTTTATCTACAGGATAAAGACATCCAGGAAGGGGCTAGAGAGACAGCTCAGCCACTACGAACTCTGTCTTCTCACCCAGAGGCCCAGGGTTTGATTTCCTAGCATCCAAGTGGTTTTGTTCACAACCATCTGTAGCTCCATTTCGAGGGCATCTGACATCCCATTCTGGCCCCTGAGCACAGATATGCATGCAGGCAAGACACCAACACACGTAATTTTTTTTTTCAAAATCCAGGAAGGCAGGCTTCCAACTCTGAGGTTATGTAGACTTTTTGGTGACGCTGGGACTCTCTGGCAAGCTTTCTTAATCTTTCTGAGACATCTGTTTTATCACCGTATACGATGATGGCCTCTGAAGTCCTCTCCTTGGCTCATTAGACGTGGTGTGTAAATTGCGACCGTTAGTTCCTTTCTGCTTCCAAATAAGAAAGAAATTCCTGTGGGGGGGTATCTTGGAAAGAGATTTTAGGATTTAGAAAGAAAGGGTGGGGGTGGGTCGTGGATAATGGAATGGGTCAACACCAATGAGTTTGGGAGCCCCAGCACCATTCCCCAGTGCGGCTGGATCTCCATCCATGGTGAGCTGCCTCACAGAGTGGGGGAGTTCTCGTGTAGGAGTCACATCCTTGTGCTGTAATTTCCTTAATATGGTATATTCTACTCCACAAGAGAGAGAAAGGGATGGAGTCTTCAGAGATAAACGCTGGTGCTGCCCCCTTGATGGTCCCATCCCCCTCTTTTGCTGGGGAAACTTCTAAGGAAAGGCATTCTCCAGGGCCCAGTGAGGCAGGGTGGAGCAACAGAAGTGAAATGATCCCAGCATAGGAGGAGGAGGAGAAGACATGAAAGTCATGACGCATATCCCAGCCATACTTGGTGAAAGCAAACATTCTGACTTGAATTCTCAAGAAGGGGAATTCCTGGCCACTCCACCCCTCACCCACAAGCTCTGGCCACAGTGTGTCTTCATTTTGTAATTGCTTCTCAGCCTGGGTTGCTCATTTTCTACTTGGACGGCATTGACCTAACTTCAGCGTAACCTCTGGTGATAGCTTCTTTCTGGCCTTATTGTCTATAAATTGAGGTTTTAAAGCATTAATAGGTTTCTTCTTGGGGGAGGGTGTCTATTTGTTTTGGTTTTTTGATTTTGTGTGTGTGCGTGTGTTGAAGCAGGGTTTCTCTGTGTAACAACCCTGGCTGTCCTGGAACTCACTCTGTAGACCAGGCTGGCCTCAAATTCACAGAAATCTGCCTGCGAATGCTGGGATTAAAGGCCTGTGCCACCACCATGCCTAGCAATTTCTTAACCCTATCTAAATGGTTTTTTGGGAAGTGGGGTGTGTTGAGACAGCTGTCCTGGAACTCACTATGTAGACCAAACTGGCCTTGAACTCACAGAGGTCGTCTTGCCTTTGCCTTCTGAGTTATTTTACATATAAACCATAAAAGCAGTTTATGTGACCAAACAAATTTTTATTCTTCCAAACTCTTTGTATTCAGGTCAATGTTTTCCCCTAAGGCAAGATAGGGTAGGGCTGGAAATAATTCACATTTGTAGAAGTGAGTGGGCCCCTGGAAGTTGTCAGCATCAAAGATCTTTTTCCCAGAATGTGACTTCCTTCCCCCTTTTTCCAGTTCCAGCTTTCAAGTGTTTTCAGCTCTGAAGCAAAGGGTCCTCAGCCTTGGTGTGCTTCTCTTCTTAGAGTGTCTCTGAGGCTTTTTTGTGAGCATTTTCTGATTGTGTCTCTAGGCTTCAGGGGTAGGGTGCTATTCTAACTGTGCCAAAGCCTTGTCTGTAGCAGCTGGGCACGGTGGCACACACCTTTAATCCCAGCACTTGGGAGGCAGAAGCAGGCAATCTCTGAGTTTGAGACCAGCCTGGACTACAGAATGAGTTCCAGGTCAGCTAGGGCTGTCCAGAGCAATGGTTCCCAACCTGTGGGGCGCGTTGAACGACCCTTTCACAAAGGTCGCCCAAGACCATCAGAAAACATAGATGTTTACATTATGATTCTTAACAGTAGCAAAATTACAGTTATGAAGTAGCAATGAAAATAATGTCATGGTTGGGCTTTACTACAATATGAGGAACTGTATTAAAGGGTTGAAACATTAGGAAAGTTGAGAAACACTGTTCTATGTAGTCCCAGTTGGAATTTACTATGTAGAGAGGCCCTGTCTCAAAAAAGGAAGGAAAGAGGGAGAAAGAAAAGGAAAGAGAAAAGAAAAAAACCCAGCTCTTCTCTGTTCCTGAAAAGTTTTACAATACTTTTCTGTAAACATGTCTGGGCCTGACACATCCGTCGCTTCAGTTTATTGGATTGTTTTGTTTTGGTATTAGTTTGTATTCTCTACATTTTAAAAAGTCATCTTTAGTTGTCTCTACATTAGAGATGCATGTTGCAATTCTGTAATCCTCTTTGAATATTGTCTTTTCTGGTCACAGATGCACCTGTTCCAGAGGTTGGCATGCGTGTGCTTATCAAATACACCCATATTTCCGTGGGCTGAGAGGAAAATCACAGGCAAAGCCAATGGGTGTCTCTCACGATCAAAAACACTTGGCCTCATTGCCCTTTTTCTTTGTCTGTTTTTTTTTTAACTTATTTATTCTTTGGCAATTTCATACATGTAAGTTTCATGAGCTAATTTGGGAACAAGCCTAAGCTAAGGCCAAGCTTTCACACTTAATAAGAAGTCTCCATGTCAGCCGGGCGTTGGTGGCGCGCGCCTTTAATCCCAGCACTTGGGAGGCAGAGGCAGGCAGATCTCTGTGAGTTCGAGGCCAGCCTGGTCTACAAGAGCTAGTTCCAGGACAGCCTCCAAAGCCACAGAGAAACCATGTCTCAAAAAACCAAAAAAAAAGAAGAAGTCTCCGTGTCATTATTTGGAGGCTGGAGGTCCAAAGAAAGTCTGACTACATTTGTTGTACAATGCCGATGCATGGATGCCCAACCATAAGGCCTGTGAGCAGCTAGCTTGCTACTCCGCAGGAGACTAGGTGGAAACGCCTGCTGCAGCTTGGCCCAGCAACTTCACAGAGCTGAGGCAGGCACATGCAGTCAGTGCTCACAGGCATGAGGCTCAACTCTCAAAGATAACACTGGGCAGAGTTGACCACCAGCACCATCTGCTAATCCAAGTCACAAAAGGGGCCTGCAGACACACAGAAGGGCTTTGCAATAGTTTCGCAACATTTCTCCAGAGCCACAGCATGCATAAAGCTAGGTCCAGACTGAGAAAGCCTCTGAACAGGCACAATATGCTTAGAAATGTGCTTAGGTGCTGAATAAAGAAAAGAAAATGGGTAAAGACAGTTATAAAAAATGTTTGAAAATAATAAAGTGCAGTCTTTAAAGAGACAGTAAAGCAATATAAAATGAATAAACCACATAAGGATGGGAAATATCATAATATAGGATGTTTGGACCCTATAAAGTGCTTTATTAATTTAAAATTTTTGAATGCTAATAAACAAAAAACCAACAGCTACTGAGAGACATTGGATTATGAAAGAAAAGAAAAACTGATGAATTAAACCGTCTTATATATTTTAAGGATGTCTTAACTTCAGAATGGAATT